AAGCAGAGTGGTCACTGACACTGAAGATGAGGAAGGAGGCAAGGGCAAGTTGAGGAGACTAGAGATGTGGAATGGTCATTCAGGAGAGGGGCAAGCAAAGACACCAGCATTATTGCCAGGTGCCATTAGGGGGCCACTTAGGAGAGTGATCCGGTAAGGCAGTATCTCGATCTATCTGTCTGAGTCCCACTTGATCCTAGGCTCACCTACCTGGAAAGCCGTTCAGTACTGGTTCTTTTTCTGCTATTGGCCACATCAGGCCCTGACTCCCAAGTGTTTCTTTCTCATGGCCTCTACTCCTTACTTCCCGCCACATCAGCCCCTGACTCCCAAGTATTTCTTCTCTCATGGCCTCTACTCCTTACTTCCTATAGGCCAGGCCTGCCTGGTAGCCCTGAGATTAGAACACACAAAACCAGATAAATTAAACAAGACCCAAGCAGACAAGTTGCTCTGAGTGCCCAATATATGAAGGCTGTCTGCTGTGCAGTCTTTGCCGACAAAGGTTTTTCTCACTTCAGCTTATTAAGCCCTAGCGAGCATTTACTGGCATCAGAGCTATCCTCAGCTCAGGCTCAGGTTTGTGGCCCTTGCATTGTATGTCATAGTAACTTTTCCCTTTCCCCTTAATAAATTGTAGAACTTTAGAATCTCCTTTAGTTTCTCAATATTTTAACAGGAAATGGTTGAAAGACCATTTGCCACACTTTCTTCTTTCAGAACAAAGAATCGGTTATGGAACATTTGGTCTCAAGAGCATTATTTCTTATCTTTCTAAAATTGTATCATAAGGACAAATGCTAGTATTAGTTCCTTCCTTTCCGTTTCCAGTGCTTTCTTCTATTCCTTCTGGGTCTGTGTCTTTACTCTGCCTCTCGCTCAACTACACCCTACATCTCATGTTCTGTTAATACTTCACCTCCAATGTCTGTTTAATTACTGAAAGTTTTACATCTTGGATCCTTCTCCTCTTTCCAATCACTCACCGCCCTTTTCCCTTTCTTAAATTTCATTTGAACAAAAATTTATTGAGCCCATACCTATCACATGATGCTAGGAATACAAACATAAATAGGACAAGATTCTGTGCTTAACCTCATCAACCCAGGACTGGATCTTCCCCATGGTTCCTCCAGCATGGTATTCCCACAGTTATCTTTACCAAGCTCAGCTTTTCCATTGGCCACAGAATAAAACTCTGACTCACTGAAGGCCACCAAGGATACATCCCTTCCACCTGTCTTATGTCCAGCCAGTTTGAACCACTCACGGTTCTTCAAACTCAGGGCTCTACTCTTGCCTCTCATGGCCACACCTGCCTTTCAAGATCAGTTTATAGGTGTCCTCATTCCCAGTTAATCAGGAGAGTAAGTGCACACTCTTCTGAACTCTTCTGCCTTTTATGGCATGAGAGATGCCTTAGAGAGAGTTGTAACATCTGAGATCAGAGTAGCTGCCCAGGGTCACACCCCAGCTCTGCTGATGACTGCTGGATAGCCTTGCAAGTTGTGTAACCTCTCTGTGCCTCAGTTGCTGCATGTGTAAAATGGGAATTTATAGTAGTACCTACCTCGTAGAGTTTGGGGAAGTTAGTAAGCAAATATATGTGAAGCCCAGAACAGTGGTTAGTGTTGGTGATGAGAAGTGTCCACAGCCTCAGCCTTTGTTTATGCTGTATGAACACATACATCAGCCTTAGGTGTTACCTGTTGTAGTACAGTGTATTGAAAACAGGGTCTATATTTTGTTTCTATGTCTTAGAGAGTAACTTTAATTTCATAAATCATATTGGGTAGATTCATTTCATAATATACATAGTACATGCCCAATATGCATTATAAAATTAATCTGTTGATTTAGTATTTATAGCAAAAATCAGGTTGTAGTATATGACTTCCCACCCATACCTTTTCAGGAACCTTTACAACAGTGTCTTAAACATTCTCTTCTTCTCTATCCTCAGGAATGGTCTAGTTGTATAATAAATTAATAGACAGGGCTGGGGTTGTGGCACAAGTGGTAGAGTGCTCGCCTAGTATGCGTGTGGCACTGGGTTCAATTCTCAGTATCACATAAAAATAAAATAAAGATATTGTGTCCACTTAAAAAAACTAAAAAATAAATATTTAAAAAAATAATAGAAGAACTTCATGGTATTTGGTTATTTTGAACTTGCCCTTTCTTACAATACTAATCAACAAAATAACAAAAATAAATGTACCTTTAAATTTCTGAACTATGGAATAAACTTACCACCCAGTTTTTTCCCTCCTCTCTCCCTAAAGTAATTGCCTAATCTAAACTGATATCCAACATAGTTCCCTTTAATTGAGTCTAATATTTAGAGAAATTGAGATCTCTAATAAAATTATCTCTCTGTACATAATAAAGGAAATAAAATTAAACTTTGATAAATTTATATGTGCATATCCTATGAGGATATATTTCTGGAAATATTTGACTGATATTTAACCTTTTTAAAAAAGTAGTAATTTTGTTAGAACCTAATTTGAAGCTGCATCATCAGCAACCTTCATTATTTTGATGACTGTTTTCAAGTGCCCACCATAGACCTACTGCTATTCTTAAAATATCATGGGAACATTGAGTTAGAATCCCTTTTCCAGCCAGTCTGTCTCCTGTGTGAGTCCCTGTATGTGGCCCAGCACCTTAACACTTCCAAACCTGTGCCCTCTTCTGTTTCCATGGCTTGCATGCCCTCAGGCAAACCCAGAACTCCCTCTAACTGCTCCTTATCTGCCTTTGTACCCAGGCAATCTAGGTCTCAGATTTGTCCTCACCCCCATAGACACTGCCTGGCTTAGGTTTTTTTTAGCAGTGGTCTCTTAACCATAGCTGAGGGCGCGCGGTTTCATCTGCCTCCAGGCCACCCACACAGAGGAACCATGCAAATAGCAAATTCCCCTGTGTAAAATCCTCCAGTGGCTATTTCCATCAAATACACCCTTGATCCCAGCTTTGGTATTGCAGGGACCCTGATTCAACTGACGGTGGACTATTTGTATTTTGTATGACCACTGTGTTTTTGGAAAACCTTTTGATATTGGAGAAACAGCTATTACAGAGTAACAATTTTAAATACATATATACATACTCATCATAATACCATCCATATTTATTTAAAAAATAGTGTAGACATAATGCTAGACACATTCGATGTAGAGATACTGACCACATGTGTATGATGTGCTGCCCCTTTGAAGTGACTCTCGGTGCCCCAGAGGTCCATCACCATTGCTTGGTTTCCATTGGAACCAGCCTGTTTTCTCCTTTCCCCCTTCGCTCAGATGTGCTCTGGTGTGGAGCAAAGGTGACATGGTTACTCTGAGCACCATCTGAAGATTGGGAAACTTGAAGCTGGTCCTCCCTGCTGTGTTCTGTGTGGGTACTTTCCTTTCCCTGTATGAACTGACCACTATCACTTTGGATTCCACATCCACCCCCACACCAGCACCATTCACTACAGTTCCTTGTACTCCCTGTTTCTGTGTCAATCACTCCTATAGTTCAGTACCCTTTGTAGGGGTTGATACTGAGACTTGCTCAATTTTGAGCCCCCAGCCCCTGGCCTAGTGCATGACATATGTAGGTTCAGTATACAAGGCAGTGAATGAATGCATTGTGAGGACTAAATATGTACATAGGGTACCTGTAAGACACTGAGAATAGCATGTGGCGTATAGTAAGTGCTCAGCTCATATTAGGGCACCCACACTGTGCCAGCTGCCATTCTGGGTGCTAGGGAAACAAAACCAGACGAGACACACACAGTCCTTAACTTTCGTGAAGCTTGCATTCTGCTGATAGCAGAGAGACATAAATATTTACTTTTTCAGGGAATAATAAATACAATAAAGAAAAATAAAGCAGGATAAGGAACAGATGGCAGTAAAGTGGGTTTGGGAGTCCTAGCTTGCTTCCGTGTCACAAAGCAGAAAGGGCAGAGGGCAGCTTTGACACTGAGAGACAATAATCTAACCAGCACAGGTGGGAAGATGTTGTTAGACAAGTGCTGTGGGGAACCTTGGGGGGACAGGTGTTGTGGGGAACGGTCAGGAAAGGTGACCCAGGGCAGTCATCCAAGCAGAGGCCCAGACTGAGAGGAGGTAGGAGCCTGCTTGGTCCGCTGCTGCTCAGTATGTGGCCAATGTGAAGTGCCTGAGGGGTGAGCCACAGGAAGCGATGCTATGGGTAGGCATGGGATGACCAGGACTTGGCGTTTTGTCCTCAGTGAGAATTGGTGGCTAGGACCGACACATTTGTAAGGTCCCTTTAACTTGCTGTATTGTGATTCTGAATTTCATGTGGAGTCCAGAGTGTTGAATTGGACTGAGCAGCATCACCATAAGTAATGATGCTGCTGCTCCTGCCCGGCTCTTAACAATCATGAGCGCTGTAATAAAACTACCATATTTTGGGCTTCAAGCTGCTGTGTAACTAAAAGTGGTAATTTTAGGATGGTATAATTTAATATCAAGGGAAATTATGTTTTTTCTTGAAGCACCTTTGTTGTGAGTTGTGAAGACTGCTTGTCAACATCAAAGGACTGCATCCCAAACCAGTTTCTCACAGATATTTCAAGAACCCCAAATCCATTCCCTGTCCTATTCTCCAGGCAGCACCTAGGATGAACTGCCAGTCATTGGGTTGCACAAAGCCATTTTGGAGCCCCCCATTGTTCTCAAGTCAAGTCCTCTGTTCTTTCCAAGCCCTGCAGGCTTCTGCCTAAACCATCTGTCTCTCCCTCCCTTAACTGACCTGCAGTTGGGGCTATTTGGGAAGCTTTTTCTGCCTCATACCTTCATGTGCCACCCTCTAGGTCTTTCTCCCACTTCTCAGCCCAGCCGGTTCCTCCTTCTCCTCCAGGTCTCAGCCTTGGTGTCAGTGGATCAGGGAAGCTGTTCCCTTCCCCCTGCCCACACTCCCCTGGGTCATCATTTGCTGCTGCCCGCTTATTTTCTTCCTCTGTCCTTATTTAGCCATATCATGTCTGAATATGGGAGGATGACAGATGCAGAACGTGACCAGATAGACCAGGATGCTCAGATATTCATGAGGACCTGTTCAGAAGCAATCCAGCAACTCAGAACAGAAGGTAAAGTGCTCTGAAAGATGCAAACAGCCAGCCACGGATGTATCAAGTAGTTCAACAGGATTCATGAAGAGCAACCACCCACAGTCCCTCTTAGGTTCTTACTGAGAGTCAGAGTTTAAAACTTCAAAATCTTTCCTGATCCATGTTTTAACAAACTAAGCCAGTCAGAATCACAAATAGGCCACCACTCAAGTTAAACAGATGGGAGGAAGGAGATGGATGGACCTCATCAAACAGAACCAGAAATTTACTAAGGGGCCAAGGTCAGAAAAGGCAAATTATATGTGTGCATACGTGTGTGTGTGTGATGTCCACAAGTGCCTGCAGTGTGTGGCAATTAGTGGGGCAGGTTGGCTGGCATGTGGATAATAAAGTAAGAAGGCAGCTTATGCTCCACCTGCCCTAGCAATAGTAAACTGGTGTCACCCCCCTTGCAGTCAAGAGGAAGGATCTGAGCTGTTGCTGCTGAGAGAGGCATCCCCACTCTGCCATATTTGATCTCTGTGGCCTGAGACAAGTTACTGAATCTTCCTGGGCCTGTTTCTTCCTCTGTAAAATGCAAGTGATTATAGAAAGCATCTCAGCATTACTATGAAAACTGAGCTAGATTCCTAGAGCCGACCCTGGCACCAGAGGGCCATTGTCACCTCATTCTTGCCCAGTCTCATTCTGGTTGAAGCACTGGGATGCCTTCCCAAGCTATGTGTCTTCCCCACATCTTTTTAAATGTGTTTAGACAGGTAGAGCACATGAAATGATCTAGCATTCCAAGTGTGCGGGTGCCGTGTGTTCAAGACACAGACTTCTCCTGGGGAAGCTTCCGTGAGAGCTGATGGGCCATCAAGAGAGTCTGGTGAAAGCTGTAGACATTCTAGAAAACACGAAACACTGCGCAGTCTCACAGAATCCCTGAGTCCCTCGTGGGATCTCGGCTCTGCAGCCCTACAGTTTGGTTATACTCTTCAGCTCTGCGTTTATTGAGATGCCTAGAAAGTGTATGTGAACATTAATAAAACCAGCCATTAAGTATCAAACCACAGAACCTGAGGCTCCTTTTGGCCTCTGAACCTGAGTTTCTTCATTTGAAAGTGGATATAATCAGAATCGCCACCTGGCCCCTTCAAAGGGTGGCTGTGTGGGATGTGAGCTCAGTGTCCGCATACAGCAGGCACTTGTCCCCTCCATGAGTGGTAGTTGTCTTACCAGACTAAGGGGTACAGACTTCAGTCTGCTAAGTTCTATCAGACTTCTGTGTGAGTCCACACAGGAAAGGCACCTCTGTGACTGGGCATCATGGAAGGTTCCTAGAGTGGAGAGTTCACCTCAGTGTTGAGGGGTCCTGGGAGTGTGAGACTGGGAAGAGGTGGGGCTTTCCAAGCCAAAGCACAGTGCAGGCCCAGAGGGGGTGTTAGGACCTAGGCTTGATTTCAGCATGTTATTAAAGGTCAGCGTGGGCACTGATGCTGCCAGTACACATGGGGTCAGTCCTCAAGAAGGGACTGCATCAAGGACTGTCCCTGAGTGCTATAATAAACCATGAATTATTTGACTAGTTTTCCTCTGGCTTTAATCTTTCATCTGGCAGAGTCTTATCTTACTTTTAAAAACAGTTTCACTTACATAAGACTTGCTCTGTGGTTGTGTTTTTAAAAATACCTTTAATAAAGAAAGGGAATCTGATGCATTGTTTTTAGGCTCATTGAATACAGAAGCCTGAGTGTTGTCTTTTCTGTTACAGCCCACAAGGAGATACATTCCCAGCAAGTGAAGGAGCACAGGACTGCTGTTCTGGATTTCATTCAAGATTACTTAAAAAGTATTTCATCTTCCCTTAAAGGTCAAATGTGGCCTTTCACAATAGATGAATTCAGAATTCAGCTTTGCTAGCTGAAGATGGTAGTGTCTCATTATATTTAATGATACCTTTGCCTGAGAAGCCATTTTAAATGGTCTCTGTTCTGCTATTTTCCTTTCGACAGGAGTGTGTAAACTTTACTCAGAACAGAGAGCCATCCGAGTTAAACGAGTGGTGGATAAGAAGAGATTGTAAGTATGGCCTCTGTTGGTATTTCTCAATTAATAATAATAATAGTGGTAACTCAAGTTCACAGAGCACTTCCTCTGTGATGTATATTGAGATTGAATTTCTTCATAAAGTGCCTTAGCTAGTGCCTACTGTGGGCTGTGTGCCAGGTGCTATGCTCAGCCCTCTTGGCTCACAGGTACTGTTACTCTCCTCAGCTGAGGCTGAGCAGGTTGGGCGACTCACCCACAACCCCACAGTCTGGAGGTAGCTGAGCTGGGATTGATTTGAAATTTGTGCTCTTACCCATGTTGCTTCTTAATTATTCTATGAAGCCATTTTACCCCAATCTCTGTCCCCCACATACTTCTTGTTATCTTTGAAAGAGTTTTCCTGAGGGAGGAGCTTGGCACAGTGACCAATGCACCATGAGGCCAGTGTGACCCATGTACTTGTGAGATGCCACATGCTCTGAGCACACACCTGTTTTCAAGCCCAGCACCCATTTCACACAGGCACTGTTCTGACTTGTCCAAGGCCACACGGCCAAGTAGTAGCAAACCAGACACCAGTATTTCCTGTGGCACCTCTGTGTGCCTCTGTCCACCTTCCCATCTGGGCTCACACAGCCTCCTGCAATGCAGGAGTTGGGCACAGTGCACAGTGGCAGCCATCTCAGCAGCCCAGCCCATCATGGAGACTGAAAAGCATCAGTGGGCTGGATGTGGTAACACACGCCTATAATCCCAGTGGCTAGGGAGGCTGACACAAGAGGATCACAGGTTCAAAGCCCGTCTCAGTAACTTAGCAAGACTCTACCTCCAAAAAAAAAAAAAAAAAGACTGGGAATGTAGCTCAATGGTTGAACACCCAGGTTCAATCTCTGGTACAAAAAACAAACAAACAAAGAAAAACACCTCAGTGAGTATTGTATCCATACTCTGAATCTTGAGCACTTCTCAACTAACTTTGGAAATATTCTGGAACATTATGAGAAGATAGCATGACATAATATTGTGAGACAGGTTTCCTTATATCATGTCAGGTGCCCCTGATAGTGCTCTCAGGCCCAGGACTTGGCCTCAGCTCTGCTCATGACTGGTTTCTCATACTGAACAGATACAGAGAGGAACATCAAATGGGGGGGGGGGGGGCTATGGGACAAAATCTTTATGAGACTAGGACACTTAGGAGCTCCCAGGACACTTTCTGGGGGAGTCGCACAGCATGTGACTCGTGACAGTGGGTGAAGTGTGGTCTACCAGGGAAGCTCAGGAGTGACTCACTACCCAGGGATTTTACTGGCACCTGGTCACATGGCACCTTCTCTCTGGCAATATCAGAACTCCAGATGCCAGCAGGAAAGCAGGGTTGGGCGTCACAGCCCTTCAGCTCACATTGTTTACACCCAGCTTAGTCACGGGGAGCTGCTCCTCTCAGCTAGATGGCTCAACTCCCTGAAAGTCCAGGTTCTCAGATGCACCAAGAGCTAGCCTTGCAAGCAGGCCCTTCTAAGGATGGCAGTCTGAGTCCTTCCGTGTGAGCTTCTCTCTGCACACTTGTCAAATAGATTTGAAACAGTAAATGCCAATGGGTAGAAGCATTTGGGGATGATAATAAGTAGATCAGGCAAGTTATCTGTCAGCAGATAGTTACTATTATATAATGTACCAAGAGGGTAATTTGAGAGAAGCAAAAAATAAAGTCTTTGTCCTCAGGGAACTTAGAGGCAGACTGGGCTGCTATAAAAACTTGAAAAACTAACCAATTTAATCAGGACATAATATTTTGGGACAGGTTTCCTTATATCATGTCAGGTGCCCCTGATAGTGCTCTCAGGTCGGAATCAGTGAGGCCACCAGGAAGTCCAAAGAGAGAAGCGGCTTGGTGGAGGGTGAGCACAGAGCCCGGGCCCCAGTGGCCAGATAGCCTGTGCTGGAGTTCTGGCCGCACTTGCCAGCTGTGTGACTTGGAGCAGATTGCTTTATTTTTCTGTGCCTTAGTTTCCTTGCCTGTACCATGGAAGAATTAATAGTATCTATCTTCATAACTATAGTGTTGTGGGAAGAAAATGAGTGGATACATAAAATACTTGGAGTAATAAATGTTAACTTATCATCTACCATCAAGCACCTACCACATGTCAGGCAGTATATTAATTTATTTCCTTTAAGCCTTGCAACCACCTTATTAGTAAATATTAGTATCTCGTTTTATAAATGAGGAAACAGGGGCTCGGCAAATTTGAGTTTGCTGCCCACTGAACTGCAGTCTGAACCTGAGTGATTGGGCAGATTTTCAAGTAGTGGATCCATGTTGGCTTTAAAAAATTCCAGGAAGCGGGCAGTCCAGGTTTGGGGAACCGGTGAGCAGAATGTCCCAGGCAGAGACCAGTTTGTCTAAGCAGGTCCTGGGAAGTAGTTCAGACTCCGATGGCATGTGATGGACCCTGAAGGTGGGAAGGTGGCCACTAGACTCACACTACTACCAAGGAGGAGCAGCAGATGTCACTGCACAATGCCAGGTGGAGACCCAACAGGTATAGGAGGAAAAGTAAGAGGCTTTTGCTGCTTCCTCCTCCATCTGCCCTTGGCAGAGGTTTCAACTAAAATACAAATTAAAATCAGTCAGATAGGAAGTCCTCTGTAGACAGTGAAATGCAGCACCGTTTCCTGCCAGCTAGCTGCCTTGTACCAGTTACTTTGCGCACAGACCTGGAGGGAAGGGGGGAGCTGTGTGTCCCTCCACAGTGTAGTCCAGCCCTCTACTCCTGGCTCCTCACCTTGGGCAGTGGGCTCTGTCTGAAGGAGGTGAGCTCACTCCCTTGCTTGCTGTGTCTCACAGAGCCCGGACACAGCAGGCGTTCAGAGCCACAGCAACTGCACCCCAGCCTTGTTTCTTAGGCAGTCCCCAGTGACACATGCTCGGCCAGGCCCTACCACAGTTTTGCCCTAAAGAGGCCTTGCTCTTTGAGGCTCTTGGGCCTTAATGCTTGCTAGTTTCTCCACCCAAGAATGCCTTTCACGTATGCTTATGTTCTGTTTCCCCAACCCAATTCATCTGGTGAACAAAGTTCTGCTCATCCTTCCTGCCCCAGTGAAAATTGCCTACTCTGTAAAGTCTCTTCCAGCTCCTTCAGGCAGTGCTATGGCTCTCCTCATGGGTGCCCTGTGTGCTGTTCACGGTCAGGTGCAGCACATTGTCTCTTCAAGATGCCACTGGCTTATTTGTCCCTGTGCCACCTCAGCTCATTATACAGCATAATGCCTGTCCTCGGGGGAAGCCAGTAGTGGATTAATCTACCATACCAAAGGGCTCTCGTACCAAACTGGATGAAAGTACTTTTGTTCATTAAGCCATAAACAGTGTCAGTTGACCTTTCTGCATTTTTCTGACCATGAGTCTGTTTTTTAAAATGTGAGTGCCATTAGATGGAGGTTCTTTACCCATCCTCGAGGCGTTTCACTTCTGGCGTGGCAGTGGTACCCGCCAAGCTGGACAGAGGGACAGTGATCACTGTTATTGGGGTCTTATGTCTGCTCTTCTGGCCCATCCTCCAAACACTTACCTTTCACTAGTACACTGATATTCTTAGAAGTGGAAACTTTGGGCTGCTTTCCCTGTCTCAAGGGAGAGCTGAGAAGAGTGAAATCCATTAGTGGGAGGTGAGGGTTTCTCCCACCACCGAGCAGGTTGCACACCAGCAGCTTGGGAGGCCAGAGCTCTGCAGCTGCTGCGAGGTCCTCATGTGGCGCCAAGCTGGTGCTGAGCACATGGACTATGAATTCTGGAAGACAAGAGCTCTGGGGAAACCCTGGTGACTTCAGTGAGGTGTACTTATCTGATCTCACCTAAAACTTATGTAGATTTATTTATTTCCATTGTCAGACAGGTTAGAGAAGCACTTAGTGTTCAGAGTTCTCAGAGTCTATGCAACCTCCTACCCCAAGCCTGTCTGCCTGGAGCCACGACTGTGCGGACAGCTGGCCAGTGCGCCTTGGAAAAGGCTGTGTTGATCCATGGCCAGGCAGGACATCTTGAGTTATTATTAATTGCTTCCTAATATTGATACAAAAGATCAACATTCTACTGCATTTCATTTCTTCTCCTCCTTTTATAGTACATAATATCACAGTACTTACCTGGTAATTGAAGAAGGCACTTTATATTATAATTTAGCCCTCTCACCCCTTCCGGATTCTAAGACTGGTAAGGAGAGGATTGCATCTTTTACCTCTTTGTATCCATCACCTCTAACCCAGGGCCCTATACTTCGTAAGAGCGCATAAGTTTTGCCAGTAATTGGGGATGATGATAGTGGCAGTGATCAAGATGAAGAAAGAACAAAAAGAAGCTTTGCCCTGTGACAGCAGACCCATGACAGAAATGTTGCACTGTTTACTCTATAACAGGGCCTTAATCATTGCCTAGAAGAGAGATCAACAAACTACTGCCTATGGGCCAATCTAGACCTTGGCTTTGTTTGTACAGCCCTCCAACTGAAAGTGTTTTTATATTTTTTAAAGGTAAAATAATAAGAAGAAAGGCTATGAGACAGACACTACATATAATCTACAGAGTCCAAAATATTCACCCTGTAGCTCTTTACAGAAAGTCTGTGTAGACTTGGCTCAGAGCAGAGTCCCTCAGAACCATTTCTTTGCTTCAGTATTTCGCTGTCTATTGTGGACGCGGTGTGTGTTCTACAGCATGTGACAGGTTCTGAGGTTATGCCACAAGTGACTAACCCAGCAGGCAGATGACACTTGAGCTGATGTGTAGTCTGCTTAATGACGTGAAACAAATGATTGGAGGGCAAAGTCAGAGGGCTGCAGGTGCTTGCTCTTGTTTTCTGTGCTTGTCCCATGACAGGCCATCGTGAGCAGTGTGTGACTGGTCCTATCTGTGGCCCATTGCGCCTTTGCTGTGTGAGGGACAACTTGGTCCAGGCAGCAGGAGCCATCGCCCTTTGCCTGGAAGCCATGTTGGGTGCTGCAGACGATCCTGTGACAGACCGAAAACA